AAGAGGACGAGTTGTCGAAGAAGGACAGAATAAATTTTTTGCAGAATTTCGATCGTCGTAGGAATGCCAAAGGCGGTACGAACTCGGTCTTGGGGGCTGAAAACATCCATTGGTCTATATCCAGTTGGATGCTATAAGATGGGTTATTGTGACCACTCTGATGAGTGGAGTATCACTCAAACGTTTACAAAAGCAGTTCAGAAAGCATTGTTTGATTGCTTTAGTTACTGGCTTTAGACGAAAAGGCGTCTGACTTCCAGTTGTCTTTACGGATGTGGTAAATGCATCCTGAAATATCGTCTACATCGTGCCATGGCAACTTCCATTTCTTGGTGTTAGACCTCTTCATCTTAAAACAAATTCGACAAAAAATTCAGTGATAATCTTACGAATATCGTAGCTGACCCCGAGCATTGGGGTCGACTGTTTGATGAGGTCTGAATCTCGACTGACAAAGGACCGGTCAGCGAAAGGTTCGCGTCATCTCTACCCCTACCCCCGCTTTTACACACACACACACACAACTCATCCGTTTGGTTTTGGTTCGCGACTGATGCTCATATGAAATAACTTGCTCACAGATACACACATTTCACATTTTCCATAAACGAGGTCAATCAGGTGCAGCAGTTCAGCTGCGTAGTTCATGAACGCCTCCTGGATAATCAAATTTGAGGTGAGGATAATTTGTCAGCTAAAGCCAGTATCAAATCACAAAATTGACCGGTGAGAAAACACTGCTTCCAAGCGATCATTTTTATCCGTGTTATTCTTAATTCTGTCTCCATGTGTTTCGTGTTTCTTACGGATAGATCTGTTGCAGGTACGTTTCCTGCTGATCTCATACTTTGCTACAGAAGAACAAAACACTGGTTCACAGTACTCGCAGATTCTTTCAGTAGAGCAGTTCAAACATCAGCTCTTGTAACCCTGGTGGTGAAGCACGGCAATTCAAAGTGAGAAATATGCAAAAGCGTACCTCAAGCCATATTTAAGAACGTCTTGCTGGTGTGTGTACCGTTTCATACAGACAGAAATATACTTTACCCGTGTTACAGAAATCAACCACATTGTGCTAAACATTTGAACGACGATGAGTGTGTAATCGAGCAGTAGCGTCACGTGACAGATCGATGACTCTATTGGTTGACCTGATGCACACACGCTTTCTGTTCGTTCTCGATCGCTAACCATCTCGATTAATTAGTCTGCTATTTGTGGCATCGGCGGTTTTTACGCTTATCGCCCTTTACTTCGCTACTACTGAGGTTATTCAACTATTGATTACTGAGATAGTGAATTTACCCCTGGTTTGAAAATTGACGGTTTTATCTAGGTTGCGCTTTTCTAGAGTTGTTACGTTGGCTAGATTCTACCTTAGTTTAATTCAACTGAACTTTCTTTGGAATAAACCCTGTCTGCTATGTGGGATCCAACAACCAAAATACCAGCCGCATTGGAGTCGTTCCCAAAAGGGCGAAGTTGTGACCAATTTTATCTCAGAAAGTATCTGTAATTGTTATGCAGTACAGAAACTTGGGAAATGACTGAGGTTTCGCCTGTTTTGAACGAGAGTTGTATACATTATAATTTGATAAAGAAAACATCATATTTGATGGCAAGAAGTGCATACGGGGGTGTGCTTTTAATGAGGATGATTGTTTTTCCGGTGAACTACTTCACTTCCCCCGTTTCCATTAAATTGTTATTTTCGTTTTGTTTATCCGTGATTCAATGACCTTGATTTCATCCGTTGTTTCCAGATTCAAATTTACCTGAGAGCTCTTTGCTAATGAATGTTTGCTATTGGCACCTTGATTATACTTCGTCATACCTCTTTTTAATGGAATTAATCTTTTATTGTAGCACTTCTGCCATCTATATTATTCAACTATTTCATAAATTCTATCGACTCTGACACATTTTACAGCTAGACCGTACCACCTAGTGCAGTTTTCTGGGCGCTAAGTGTACACAGAGAAAGAGATCTCTCTCATGGGAATATCAATTGACAATTTCTGTCCCACTTTTTCCCTGATGATGCAGTTTGGATGATAAATGACCACTGACAGCGAAACAGCAAAAACGAAACAAAAAAACAGACGAACGCCAGAGAACTGAGAACCGACAGGACTGATTTGTCATATACCTTGCTCAGTCCGTACTCATTAGTGTGACAGCCGTGACCTCACGGATGCCACTTTGCTGTACTTTCATCTGTGTCCCCATGTTGTCGCCTTTTAGGGAGTGGGGCGGGGGGCTACAGAAAGTGGGGGAGTGGGGAGAATTCAAGGTCAATATTTCCTTCGCCTCTCTGTTTACCGTCCCCCCCCCCCCAGCGGGGGTGGGTGAGATCGATACATTTTT